GTCAGCATTTCTTTATGCATCCCTCCAGCCTCTGCCCCTGTCTTCACATCACCTTCTCCTCCATGTGTCTTCCTTCCTACGTGTGTCTGGTGTCAGACCTCCCTCTGCCCCTCTCTTATGTAGGACATTTGCAACAGCATTCTGGGTCCACCCAGGTCACCCAAAATTATCTCCTCATCTCAGTATCATCAACTTAATCACACCTGCAAAGACTCTTTTTCCAAGTAAGATAACATTCACAGAGACCAAGGACTTGACATGGGTAACTTTGGGAGGCCATTTTTCAGCCTTCCACACTCTCCACAGCACCCCCCTAGCCCAGATGTAATTCACGTAGATACAAAACATCAAATTAAAAGTGCACATATGTACGAATTTTTAGTATATTCGTAAGGTTGTACAACCGTCACAACTGTCGGATTCCAGAACATTTTTATTAACCCAAAAAGAAACACTGTATCAATCAGCAGTCATTCCACCTGCTCCCCATTCTCCAACCCCTGGCAACCACTAATCTACTTTTTGTCTCCATGATTTGCCTGTTTTGGACATTTAATATGAGTGGAATTATACAATATGTGATCTTCTGTGTCTGGCTTCTTTCACTTAGCATAATGTTTTCAAGGTTCATCTGCATTGTAGTGTGTATCAGTACTTCATGTCTTTTTATGGCTGAATAATACTCCATTATATGGATGTACCACACTTTATTTATCCATCCACTGGTTCATGAACATTTTGGTTGTTTCCACATATTGGCTTTTATGGATAAGGCTCTTATATAAACATTTACCATACACATTTCTATGTGGATGTATGTTTTTTATCTCTTAGGTATATGTCTAAGAGTGGGAGAGACTTTAGGACTGGTTTCCACAGTAGCTGCACCATTTTACATTCCTATCAGCAGTGTATGAGAGTTCCCATTTCTTCACATCTTCACCAAAACTTAATATCTGTCTTTTTGATTAAAGTTATCCTAGTAGGTATGAAGTAGTTCCTCATTGTGGTTTTGATTTGTATTTCCCTGATGGTTAATGATGCTAAGCGTCTCCTCATGGGCTTATCGGTCATTTGTATATCTTTTCTGGAGAAATGTCTATTCAGACCCTTTGCTTATGTTTTAAATGAATTATTGGTCTTTTTAGTATTGAGTTTTAAGAGTTTTTAATGCACTTTAGATACAAATCCCTTGTCAGATACATGATTTGCAAGCATGTTCTCCAATTCTGGGAGTTGTCTTTTTGCTTTCTTAAGGATGTCCTTTGAAGCACAAAAATCTTCAGTTTTGATGAAGTCTAACTTTTTTTGTTGTTGCTTCCTTTTTGGTGTCATGTTTAAGATGCCATTGCCTACTCCTATGTTTTTTTCTGAATTTTAGAGTTTTACCTCTCAAATTTCAATCTTTGATACATTTTTAAGTTTATTTATTTGTTTGTTTGTTTGTTTGTTTATAGTGAGGTGTAGGGGTCCAGTTTCATTCTTTTGCATGTGAGTATCTAGTTGTCTCAGCCCCACTGGTTGAAAAGACTATTCTTTCCCCCCAGTTGATTGTTTTGACACCCTTGTCGAAAATCTATTGACTGCAAGCGTGAGGGTTTATTTCTGGACACTTGGTTCTATTCCATTGATCTGTATTATGTCTATCCTTAAGCCAGTTTTGAAATCAGGAAGTGTGAGTTCTCCAGTTTTGTTGTATTTTTCCAGATTGTTTTGGCTGTTCTGGACACACAGCAGATTCTTCTGACACATTTGTTGCTCTGTCACTTGCTTTCTTGTTTGCTTGATGGACTGGCAAGGCTGTGAGGGCCTAGCTGACCTGCATGGTTAGGTGAGAAATTCCTCTCCCTCCTCTTCAGCCTCCCGCTCACAAGGCATTTGGGCAGGAGAGGTCTGCGCTGCTCTGGCTGAGCCGTCTTTGTCCAGGGCAAGGCAGTAAAAGAGGGAACTTGGTGAGGTGACTCTGGCCCCTCAAGCAGGAGATCTAAATCTAAACAATCCTCCCATCCCTGCCTCCCTTCCCCTTCCCTGCTCACCTTACAGGGTTGGTGTTTGGGTGGTTATAATTCTACTAGATCCACTTCCAGCCAACACACCAGCTCTCCTCATGTGCCTCTGTCATTCCTGTCACTCTCCGGCCACTTCCTAAGCACGATGCACTGTGAGATGGTGCAGGATGGGGGATAACTGTCCTGTCAGATGGGGCAGGTGTAGCAGTCCAGCCTTCCTGGGGCATCTCTGGACACCTCCAAGTGTCCTTTATGGACCCAGCAGGAATGTTGCCTGAGCTGCAGGCACTGATTTTGCTGGTGGATGAGACTTTTTTTCTTCCCTGGGGTGCTTTCAGTCCTTGCCTTAAAGAGACAAAAAGAAGGGTGGGGGAAAAGAGGGGTGAATCAGAGGGCAGATTTTTCTGAAAGATTTCAAGAGAAGTTGACCTTTGATACTGGTACCACAATACTGAGGACTTACAGCTTTGACCTTTTTCAAAATCTGGCAAGAAGCTGGGAGCTCTTTTTAATGAATAAAAGTGATAAAACCAAGTCTGACTTCTTCATCCCCATAGGGTACCAGGAGCGTTTCACCATGGCCTCCCTGCAGGGTAGGGGGTGGCCTATGACTGAGAGAAACTGAGCTCAGTGCCGCCAGTGCTAACTGTGTGAACTTGGACCTGTTACCCACCCTCTGTGAGCACAGCATCCTCATTTGTTAAATAAAGTTACCTCCCTCCTGGTGGCAGGGGGAGGGCAATAAGGGTTCAAATAGAAGAAACTGTTCATTATTATCAACTGATCGAATGCTGTCTTTGTGGCAGTCTTTATGTTAGTGTTTAAACTAAATCAAGCGGGGTAAAGGAAAAGATTTCATGATTCTCTGCAGAGCCACAAACTGGAATGTTTTGAGTATCTGCTGTGTGTTTAATCCTATGCCAGTCTTCATGTGTATTTTTGATTCTTTGAGGTTTGAAAGATGCTAATTAATGGTACTTCTTCCCCATACAGATTCTAAACCAGTTGAGAACTACACAGAGGAGTCAATAGAGATAAAAGTAGAGATTGTATTATAGGTGAAGGCTGGATCAACAAACACATGGCTCAGACCTCCAGCTAAAGTGCACATTCACACCTCCCTGCAACTTTTTGTTTCCCAGTTCGAAGCCTGGTTCTAGGCTGCAGAGCCTAAGGGGCAGGTGTCCTGTGGACTGATTTGGGGCCCTGAGGATGGTAACACTGGTCCTTTGGCTGCCTCCATGAGTCTAGGCTCTGCTTCATGGGCTTTAAGTAGCACTGGTCCTGATGGAGGGTCACCAACTCTGCTTATCTCACCATAAAGACCTGTGTCTCTAGAATGTTGGTGCTAATTCTCCAAATCTGTGCTCTGTGTGCGCCATGAAACTTGTTGTCAATTCCAGTTTCTTTGTAGACACTTAAAGCTCTGTGACTATATGCAGGTGAGTTAACCTATCTTGAGCCCTGGATCCTTACCTGTGAAGCAGGGGTGGTAATTCGCAACCCAAAGGATGTTGAGGGACTGGAGAGAAAGTATTTGGTTAGGGACTGGCACATAATAGTGCCACTAAGCCTGGTTCAGTGCGCTGGGGAACTCAGCTTCCATTCCAGACTCTGAGGCTTTTCTCTGTGTGCTGAGCAAGTCTCTTTGGGGGCCAGATGGTCAGAGACAGGTCTGTGGGCTAGAGTTAGAGATGCAGATTTGGGAAAGACAAAGTCCCAACAGCAGTGGGTCACTGAAAGGCACTGCATGGAACTGCAGCGATTTATTGTCTGTGTAGTGGGATTTCAACCCCATGTTTCAGGTTGGAGGTGGGAGGGACGGGGTGGTTAGCGGAAATGTCAGTGCCTCCCTTCAGACCCATACTTAGGACTGTCTAAGGCAAAATGGTGAAGTAAGCAATGGTTTCCCCAAGGCACCCACTTCCTCTTTCTGCACCCCTTTCTACTCTTTCAGCAGCCTTCCCCTAGCTGGCTAGGAAGATGGGTCTCTGAAAAACGAATTTACTCTAATACAGAGGGCAGCAAAATATGAGCTAATTCCAGCCTCCCTCCTGTCTTTGTACAGCCTGTGAACGACGGACGGTTTTTACATTTTTAAACAATTGGGGAAAAATCAAAAGAAAAGAATATTTTTGACATGTAAACATTACATGAAATTCACATTTTACTGGAACATTAAATGAAACTTTTATTTCAGCTACAACCATTTGTTGCCATATCGTCTATGGCTGCTTTCAGCAGAGTTGAGTCATTGTGACAGTCTCCCAAAGTCTAAAATATTTACCTTCTGGCCCTTTAAGAAAAAGTTTGTTGCAGAGAAAGGGGGTGGGAATGGATAAATTGGGAGTTCGAGATTTGCAGATACTAACTACTATATATAAAATAGGTAAACAACAAGGTCCTACTGTGTAGCACAGGGAACTATATTCAATGTCTTGTAGTAACCTATAATGGAAAAGAATTTGGAAAGGAATATATGTATGTATATGTATGACTGAAACACCAGGAATTCACACACATTGTAAATTGACTATATATCAATTTAAAAAAAAAAGTGCGTTGGTGCCCTGCTCTAAGACGTTAAGAGATTTAATGTGTTATGTACAGGATTTGCTTTCAGAGGATGGGGCAAAACAATGGAATTCAGGTGTTGCTGGCGGGTCTGCAGGGGAGACACTGGGTGGGAAGCTTTCCTGCTATCCTTCCAGGTTGAAGGGCTGAGGGGAGATAAATGTCTAGTCCTGCAGGTGGGGCTGCTTCTGTCCACACTGGGATAGGGGGTCAGGCCTATGCATTACTCTAGCTGTGGAGACAGCAGGATTCAGAAGTGGATTCACAACCCTTAGTGAGCCTTTCCCACCAGCTTCCCTGCCTGGCTGGTGGCAGTGACTTTTCCTGAGGCCTTTCACATTCCCAGAGCTCTGCCCAGCCTCTCCTGGTTGACCCTGAGCAGCACACTCATTGGTCGCGTCTCTCTTGTTTCCGCAGAATTTGCCTTCTGCCAGGTGGATGCCTCCATCGCTCTGGATCTGGCCCTGGCTGTGCTGTGTGACCTGCTCCAGCAGTGGGACCAGCTAGGCCCTGGACTCCCAGTCCTGCTAGGGTGGCTGCTGGGAGAGGGTGATGACCTCATGGTCTGTGTGGAGAGTGTGCATCAGGTAATGCCAGGGTCTCAGGGCAGTGGAGGCGGGTGGGAGTGTCCTAAACCCACTGTATGCCACACTTAGAGGCTTACGTGGGCTGAATGTGCCTGCTTCTGGATGCTCAGATACCAAGCAGTAACCGATTTGGAAGGCCTCCAAGTGACTCCGGCAGCCTGCTGGGGGCTCTGGGGGGCACCTGGGCGGTTCTCATGGTCGGCTTTGGGGGTTCCAGTGGTAAGCCTTCTGAGCAGTCAGTGGAGAGGACTTTGAAAGAGGCCTCTTGGAAGTTGAGAGTTAATTATGGAGAAGGCTCATTAGTCAGCATTGGAGTAACCAGGGCTTCCACAGTGAAGTCTGAAAGTGAAATACTCCCAGAGCATCAGGGTCCTTCCAGGGTCTTTGCTGCTTGAAGAAAACTATGCGCCTCCTCCAGATGGGGGAGCAGTTGACAGATAGGGAAACTGAGGACCAAGATAAGCAGCAAAAGCATCTTGAGAATTGAAATTCCCATCCACCAGTATCTGACTCAGCTGGCTCCCCAGCAGGCCAGGTATTCAAAAAGCAGCCTATTTATAGGAAATTTGGAGATAAGATAAAGTATCTGTTTTAAAATGACCTTGAAAATCCCCAGCATTATAGAAATTTGGTTTCATACTCAGAGACGAGTGTCTCGTGTTTGACGGCTCTTTAGTCTTTGTTCTGCTGGTCAGATTTGCCTTCCTCCCTCCTCTCCGATTTCTAGATGCACCTTCAGGTCTAGGGCCCACTCTTGTGTTGAGGTCCCCTTTTCAGCACCAGGCCCCCAAAATATCTTGGCTGAGAACCACAAACACATCTTTATCAAAGGTCATGTTAAGTCTGGGGGGAAAGAAATTCCTCTCTGGTGGAGAAGTACAATGAGTGAAAATAGAAGGTGACCTTCAAGGCGACGAGTGGTGTGTGTACACGGGGGCTGATGGGCGAGAGTGGGCCCTCTGTCAGGCAAGGGAGGGGACACACTGCTCCTGCATCTGGCCCAACTCTGCTCTGGACTGGGGCTGGTCAGTAACCCCTGTGAGGTTGGCTTTTGGCTTTTTCATTTGATTCAGGTGGAAGAAGACTACTTGTTTGAAAAAACAGAAGTCAACTTTTGGGCTGAGACCCTGATCTTCGTGAAATACCTCTACAAGCACCTCTCCCGCCTCCTCTCCAAGTCCAGCTGGTGTCCCCTCAGCCCCGAGAGGCTCCGTCATCTTCAGAGGACAGCGTCAGAGCAGTGCCACCTCCTTTCCCAGCTCTTCAGAGAGCTGCCACCAGCTGCTGAGTTTTTGAAGACGGCGGAGTTCACAAGGCTGCGCATCCAGGAGGAAAGGACTTCGGCCTGCCTGAGGCTGCTGGCCCTTCTGGAAGGAAAGCAAGGGGACTCTCCTGCAGCAGCGAATCAGTTAACTCTTCCAGAAACAGAAACAGCTTGTTGAAGAAAGATTTGTGGGGTTGGGGGCGGGGTGGATTACTCCCCTACTAAATCTGCAGAAAACATGTTGACCATAAATTCAAATATCTTCTCCCTTTCGTGCCTCCCCCACTTCTGGGAGTCTAGTCTTCTGTCCTACAGAGGAATTTTTCTTCAGTGCAGTCATTCAGGGCAGCTTCATTTATTGCAGCTACTGTAGGAAGTGAAGCTACCACGTTGAGTATTTACTCTGTTCCCAGGTGCAGGCCACCTGCAGGCCTGAATTAGCCTTTTTCATCCCTCAGGACCTCCAGTGTCCAACCATAGCCAGCCTGCATTTTCTCTGAATTGACTACACAGAATTGGGTTTTAACACATGATTCCCCCCCCTCCCCTTTTTTGGCTGGAAGTAGGAGCTGGATTAGTTGGCAAAGAGCCCACTTGGTCAGAATTCCAAATTTTATTCCATTTTAGCTAAGACAGAAATATGTTTCAAATATTGGATCCTGGGAGAATGAAGATCAACTTCATACAAATAATTGTTTTTAAAGTCCTTCAGTGACCTACATGCCGTCCTAATTATTAAGAGAGCCATTAAGAGCCCCTGCCTGCTCCCCCACCGAAAGTTTTTGTGCTGTTGTTAGGAAACCAGATCTTGCCACGCAGTGAAACCATAGGCTCTTAACTGTTAGAAGGAATCTGGGGAAAGGAGAGTCAGAATAAATGACTTATTTGATGCCTACACTGTTTACTGTTGTTTTCTTGGTGGCAGTAACAAGCAGATTTTCATTTAAGATGCTAGAGAACATTTATCCATTTCATTGATTTAATCTAGAAACTTTTAAGGGTTCTCTGCTTTTCTACATCCAGCCCTCACCCTCTTCCCCACGTAGCCAGCAGGTGTCGCTCTTGCTTACATTTTGCTGCTGGTCCTATTTTTCATTGGCTTGCCACCTTTAATTTATAATTTCAGAGTGAGTGTTACCCCAAGTCAGTCATCTTGAAATTCATAGCGTGGATAGTTCATAGCCTCATCCATGTTCATTTTCATCCTAGTTATCTGAAGAAGCCATTTCAGTAATAGTATATAAATTTGGTCCAGCTTTTAGGGTCTGTGATAATTTTTAAATACTTCTCAGGTGAGCAATCAGAATTTTATTGATGTTTGAGGGTCTGCAGGAGTATTTTAGAGGAGAGAGAGTTCGCTATGATCATTTCCAACTGCAGAAAGGCTTATATTTCAAATAGAATTTGTTCTTTGGAAGAAAACTACCCAATACTAAAAACAGAGACTACTGGTGGTCTAGAGAAAAGAGCTGTGTAGGAAGAGGCAGGGAAAGAAGTTAATTTAGTGTCCAACGTTTTGTCGGAAAGAGAACAGGAAATTCCCTGGGTGGTTTTGCACTATTCAGCTCAAAATGTGTTTTTTGTGATCCTGAATTAATTACCTGGTTAGGCATCTCTGTAGCCCACACTTGATGGAAAGTAGCCAACCTAGCATTTCTTTTTGTTCTGAGAAGACCTGGCTGGTGAGAAGTCAGGGAATTGTTGGCATAACGTGGTGATAACCATGGTAGAATAATTATGAAACTGGCCCCAGCAAAGCCCAGCTCATTGGAAAAGGCCAGCATTCCATTTTCTCTCTCCATTTAAAATGAAATAAAAGCAGTTACATAATAATAAAAATATTTTCTACCAGCAGGTACTCTGTACCAAAGCATGTACCATAGCATGTTTACATGTTAGCCTCCAAAGTCCTTCTACCAAGCCTGCAATGTGGGTGTTCTCATAGCTGTTGACTGGGAATTACCCCAGATTTGGAGTTTGGCTGCCTGTAGCCAGCCTGGGAGGACAGAAGAGACAGATGTTTCCACTGGTTTTGTATCTGAAATCTTGTTACTGGACTCCAATAGCAGTGGCGAGGGAAATGGCTCTTTCACACTTTCCTAATGTATTCCCAGGAGAAACTTAGAATACCCCACTGTCAGGGCCACCCTCAAACTCTTGTGTTTGGGTTCATTTCAACAAAGAACAAAACAGAGGCAGGGTTCTTGGGTATTCTAGGCTACAAGTGTCAGCCCCAGTTGCCCAGCCTTGTCTAGGGGCCAGTGTAGGCTGGGTGGTAAGAATGAAGCAGTCACCTCTTGTGAGGTCACTGACCTTGGCTCCCAGCTCCAGGGTCCAAGATTTGGTGCCCCTTCAGCTCTGCATTCATGGTTCTGTGGACCTCCACCCATCTAGCCATACCCCAGAGGCCTGGCTTTCTCCATTTTTACGCTTATTTGTTTTAATAAATAAGGTGGATTATAGTTGTTTGTCTTTTCAACACCTTAACAAATAACTCATCTGAGCCTTGACAAAGGTGAGAGATAAGTAAAGCAAGAATTATCTTAGTTTTTACAAGGAAACCCAGGTGCCAAAGTGATTGTGACTTGCCTAAAATGACATGGCTTATAAGGGACAGGGCATGAACTCCAGCCCTGTTTCTGATCCTAAAGTCCCTGCAGCCCTTCCCAACTCTAGCTCTCTGGGTGGGTGTGCGGAGAGTACAGCAGTGGATTCTGCAATGCATGCTGAACTGTAAGGAGTCGGCTTCCTGAGTGACAGGCCTGGTTCATTCCCATTCCCAGGTTAACTGAGAGCGGGAATGAGCGCAGCCGAATGGAAGTGAGCACAAAGAAACACGGCCAGCAGCAAGATCAACTTTGGAAGGGGGTGTAGATCGTGGTTGCTGCTTTCACTGTCAGGTACTAGACCTTCCAACTTAGGCCTGATTACAGCCTAGGCTGCCAGGTGTGCAGAATCATGGGCCCGGCTCCAGCTTTTTGGCAGTGTATGTGTAGACGCGGGGTGAGAAGTATCCTGGACCAGACTCCAGATCTGCCCGGGTGGGGCTGACAGCGGCTTTAGCCTCACTGGGCGCTAGCAGAGTGAGGTGTCTGCCCCATACCCGGAGGGCGCCCGCTGGCAAAGAACATTTCCCAAAACGGGCTTTGGGGTGTGGGACTGGCGAGAGAAGAAAACCGGGGCGAGCCCACCAGGCGCATCCTCGGTGCCCAGCCCTGCCTGGCTGCTGTTCGGCCTCAGCCGGAGCCCGCAGCCCACAACGAGGCGAGGCTTGCCGCCCGCAACAACCGGGGAAGGAAGGGGCTAGGAGGGCGTGCCAGGCTAAGGCTGCGGCTGGCGGGGAGCCTTGGCTGGCAGCTGTACCACAACCCCCGGGAAGGCTGGGTAGGGCCGGACCGACCAGCAGACGGACAAGGCGGCGGGAAGCGGCCTCCATGCCTGCGCGGCTCTCCCAGCCTTTCCTCCCATCCACCCAGCCGGCTCCCCCGCCCGGGACGCCCCGCGCCACTCTGTGCCTTTGGCCCTGGCTCAAGGTCTTGTGATGTGATTAGCAAAGCCAGCGCCTTGTCCTCAGACACTCAGCCCTGCCCGGCAGGCCTCGGCGCTCAAGCCCTGTTTACTGCAGCCTGGGCGGGAAGAGGGGCGGAGAAACGGGCCCAGGCTCCTCCGGGCGAGACTGCCGGGGCAGTCGCCCTCGTGGCCGCTCTCGCCCCCACCCCCACCGCGTCTCCACGTGCAGTCGGGTTAGGGACACCACCCATCAGACTCAGGCCCAGAACCCCCGTACCCCACGGCCGGGGCACCTTTGCAAACCAGCCGGGCCAAGCGGACGGTTGCAATATTCTTGCATTTTGCAATTCCCGCGCCCAGTATAAAACCGAGGGTGGGAGATAAAAGCTCCGCAATTTCGCCTAGCAGGATCGGGCGGGGAAAGACACGTCCAGGACTGCAGAACCCGGCCACGTTAAATGTGCTGGGGATTTCCAATAGAGCAGCCCCTGAGGTGGGGAGCGGTATCTCCCCGCCGCCACCCAGCAGCACCCATCTGGGCCGAGTTCTCCACGCCGCCCGGACTCCCAGGCGGCCGGCCCCGCCCCGAGGCCTCTCCGCCCCCTCCCCCC